TGGTTCTTGATTTTTCTTTAACAGTTTCTAGTCAGATGTACGACTGGGCTGTGAATAGCTGTAAACTCACAGTCGTTTATGTGTTTTTTCTTGTTACTTTATTTATGGATTTATCATACACGTGTTTCGGAAAGAGAGGTTGTCAATATTCTTAGAAGAAAAACAAAATTTGTCCGTCACGTTGTACCGGATGTCACGTGTAGGGTAACTTTAACGTATTTTGTAGAATATATATTATTTGTCTTCCTTTAAGCCTAAGTATACCAACTGTCTGTTCTCCAAACAGTTTTTTGTTGTTGTTGTTTTTTGTTGTTTTTTTTGCAATACCCGTATTGATTATTTTCACGATTAGCTCCAATCTTAATATTGGTTGAGGTATGTAGACGTTGTATTTTGCGTCTTCAACTCTGGCGAAGAAAAAGTAAGATTTTCAAACCAAATCAACGACAAACAATCCCAAAATTCATTTTACAACTGAAGACGAAGAAAATTTCTCCATAAAATTTCTAAACGTCCACATCATAAGAAAGCAATCGGGATTTGAGATGAAAATTCATAACAAAAAACATTTATTACCTGCTCTGCAAATAAACACGTAGACGATGAACTACAAAGGATTTATGAATTATTTATTTAAAAAAAAAACTACTCGGAAGTAGTTGTTAAAAAACAAAAAATAAAAGTCTCAAAGATAGAAGCGAAAACCTAATTGAACTGTGGTCAACACCACCCGCAGCCATCTCTTGGGCTACTCTTTTTACCAATGAATAGTGGGATGGATCTTGCCACGATTGAAAGGGGCGAGCTTGTTCGGTGTGAAGGGGATTCGAACCCGCTAGTCGAGCGCTCTAACCACCAAGCCAGACAGACAAATATGGATTGAGTTAAAAACCCACATATACAAAGATCTTAAAAAACAAGACAAAAAAAACATCGACATAAATATCATTTATATAAAAGCCAGGTTTTGTTTGTAATTAAGTACAAAGTTACACAATGGGCTAACTGTGCTCTGCCCACCACGCGTTGCA